CAGTGTCCATCACTGCAACTTCATTAGCACACATCAGTGAAGGAGAAAAATTACTCAATTACAAAATTTTATAACAGAAACTAAGAAAAAATTTTCAGTTGTGTTTGGTTTGTTTAACAAAAAATAAAAAACCCAGTGGTGATTAAATACCACCAAAAGAAATCTCTATCTGTGTAAAAATGATAAAAATTTCATATGGGTGCAGTATTGCATGACTGCGCAATTGTCATTCAAAGTGCGACACCGCTGAAAGCTGAAAATTGGCCTGGGCAGGAAGGGGGTGAAAGTGCTCAGTAGGCAAGTGGTTAAAAAAGCTCTTGGACTAATTTGGTCTGAAACCAATTGGTCTACCAGTATGCTCCTGGTTTGACCTGCCTACATAATTCATGTACCGTACATATGTACTGTATATTGGAACACATAGGACTCTAGCACTGAAGAGCATAAGGGCTAAGCATAATCCAGACTCCAATAATGTTATAATAAAGAGTTATACTTTATTACTTAAAAGTTCCTAGCGTAATCCAGACTCCAATAATATTATAATAAAGAGTTAGTTACTTCAAAGTTCCTATGCTTAACCTTTCAGATATGTGGATATGATACAATAATTTCAGACAACTCAAAAGTATAACAATAAAAGGAATTTTACTTAGCTTGGTTTAAAGTTGTATTGCAGATGATAAAGTAGATAAATACAGCGTGTTTAATCCAGAGGAGTTCACAACTTCATTTGAAGTTCCTGGAGGCGATAGTCCACTTGATTCACACTCTTCTTCTTCAGTTCTGAATCCAACTCAATAGCCTTTTGTCTTCCAGCCATATATACAGCAGCCCAAGACTAGTTAAAAACCAGTTTGAGCCACACCACAGAACAGAAAGAGAGATGTTCCTAACTTTCCACAGAATAATGAGATCAGATGTCTCAATATACATTAGACAGTTGTTTATAGATGAAAGTGATTTATACATAATTGATAACATAAAACTATCAATAAGTTTGTTGTAAATCAATACCTATTAAAAACCTACACTACAAATGTTTTAGCTTTAATTTTTTCACCTGAAAGGGTAACATGACAGCTGGATAATGATTGGTTGCGATGGCCAACAGCTCCACATTTCGTTTAAATTTTCAGTATCAATTCCCAATCATATACTTCATTTGGATTGTTCTGTGGAACTATGAATTAAATGTTTGCAGGACCATCTGATTTTTTTTATAGATTAAACTGACACAGTATGCAGAAGACGGTAAGTTCACAAGAAATCACAAAAACATTTGACTTCTAGTAGAATAATGATGTGATTATGTGTTTTGTTCCAAATGTTTTAGAGCCGCAGGAGCCTCCAAAACCAAGTGGATCCCATGTGCATTCTGGTACAGTTGTGGGTATCATCCTGGCAGTGCTGCTTATTACCATCATAATTCTGGTAGTGATCTATATAAACCATCAAAAAGGCAGACAAGGAAAACACTGTTGTATGGAGGTGAGAGTTATTTCTAGCATCTAAAGTCCTTGTCATGTTTTGATTATCTAGAAAAGAGATGGGCACTTTCAGTTTAGTGCTATGGAGATTTATTACTATACAGGATTTACATAGCACCAACTGTTTCTCAGCACTTTACAAAGTAAAGAAAGCCAGTACAGTTACAATACAATTTAATATAAGATCATTAGGCCTCTACTCCTGAGAGCTTACAATCTAAAATGGAGCAATATAAAAGCAAATAACTGCAAGAAATGAACTGATGGTTGGCAAGGTGGATGTGTCTAGCAGCAGCACTCATGTTAGACTAAAGGGAGATAGCCTGTGTAAACAAACTGAGACTGATAGAAAGCTGAGAAGTAGAGGGAAAGATTTGGGTGTTTGGTGTAGAGATAGAAGAATTGTTAAATGCATGTCAACTTTTTCTTTTTTGCCTATTGCCTCCTCTTTTGCTCTGTTCATTTATCTTCCACTTCTCTATAACATCTGCTTCTGAAGTTACACTCCACCTGTAGCTTGTCTCCTCACAGTCATCATTTATTTTACTTCCTTCCCCTTTTGTCTCATCTTCCATGTGACTTCTTTTCTTTAGGATTTAGCATCTGACTAGCCCATTGCTCACAGCATCTTTTTCTCCTAAAATAAATTAAAAGTAAAGCGAGCGCTCAAAAAATCAGCTGCTGAAACACTCCAAGGAATCACTGGACCTCATAACAGAAACATAAAATATATAGTGCAGCGCTGTAATGTAATTAAATGGATAAAAGTGAGATAGTTCATAAAGTCCTTTCACAATAAAATAATCAAACATGTGAAGGCCTCCTCCTCATGGGTGACTGCAATCAAACAGAAAAAATGCGCACTCACCGACCGCACATTTTAAATGCGCATGTGTGTAATTTTATCCAGATGACCAGCCAGGCATGTAGATCCAGAGAACACATAGATCATCCCTCTTAAACACTGACATCAGCCTTGGGTGTAGTAATATATCTCTCCAGGTCCAGAGAGCCCTCTTGCCCCAAATGATAGGTAGACAGGGGTCCCCCTCCTGGTTCCAGGTACCCCAGAAGTGGTAGATGTGGATCTGAAGCCCTCCAACAAGAGGGTCTTTTTAACCTGTTTCTTTCCTTTCCTTTGCTAACAGGCCCTCCAAATCACTTGACATTATCCCCAAGTAGATCCAACGTCAATCACAATGTTCAGTTTTAGGCTCCAGTTCCTCAAAAGGATATTAGGGAACTGGAGAAAGTACAGAGAAGGGCAACCAAACTAATAAGAGGCATGGAGGAGCTCCACTATGAGGAAAGAGGAACTGAATTTATTCTCTTTTAAAAAGAGGTGATTAAGAATGGGGAGTGTATGATCACTATGAGAGTCCCCATGAGGAGTGTTCAAGTCAAACTGTAACTTTTAAGTTTATATATTAAAAGAACAAATTTCAAGGAGTGGAAACTGGATCTATTTTCCAACATACTCCCCTGCTACATTTATACACTTATCCCAGTGTTTAACTAATGCCTGGAAAGCTACAGCATAGAAAGATTTGTCAGTATGCCTGAACCATCCTAGGACATTTGTGAATGATTGTGTTCACTGTTCCCACAGAAAGATTTATCTCTTGTACAATTTCACGGCTGGTTATGCATCGATTATCCAGGATCAGGCATTCCACATGCTGAATGTTCACAGGAATGACTGATGTGGACTGGGAGCCACCACGGCTGGGATCATCAGACGTATAGCCATCTTTGAAACATTTGCACCATTCGTTCACTTCATCAAGAAACTTCATCACCGCACGCTGTTCCATGCACGCACTAACACTGTTCTCTGCCATCTTGATATAAACTGTCTCTGGACTGGCTTGCAACATGTGCGCCGCCTATCAGTGATGGGACACACTTGCTACTTACTACTGCATGCAGTACCACCATGCTAGCATCCCTTTTATACCTATAAAATTAAAAGTCCTGGTTTGACTTAAACACCTCTCGTACATACGTGGTAATATAGTGAATTGGGTGTAGGGTTATTCACTTTAGGGTCATTACAAAAAGCAAGGGGTCACGCTTTACATCTGAAGGAAAGACATTTAACATCCAAATACAAAAAGGTTTCTTCTCAGTAAAGCTGTGAAGCAGTGAGTAGAGCTGTGAAAACGGGGAATAAGCTCCTTTAAGGACTAGTTCTGACCAGCTAGGTAGAAAACGTTAATGCTGAATGTCACAAGGTTGTCTAAAGTCCCTGCTTCCATGTCCATGCATATACTAACATAAGTTTACATGTCAAGTGCACCTACGATTGTTTCACACGTTAGGTATCTCCGCACATGCTAGAGTGAAAGCAATAATTCTAGGGCCATCATTCACGGTTATCTCCAAACTGATAACTTGTAAGAGCCTTTAAAGCATCGTCTATTGACAATTTTGAGTTCCTGAGTTTGCTATTGTTTCATGGGCATGCACAATTTAAGGATTGACATGATTGGTATCTTTTTACTCAACTACCAGCATTCTATTGTCCCGGGTCTCCGGTTTATGAAAATATTAAATGTTTTGCTGTTTTTAAATAAACCTCAGGCCTAAATTGTGCATTTTACATGTTTGTAGAAAAAATAAATAAAAGGCACTGGCAGCAAAAAGGTTAAGGTGGAGGTCCAGGCTCCCCCCAAAAAATTATAAGTAAGCAGCTACAAATACTGTAGCTGCTTACTTATAATTTACTTACAAATACTGTAGCTGCTGGTTTTTAATATAAGGGCACTTAGCTGCACAAGCTGCGGGGGAAGGGGGGTGGGTGCGAACTTCCGCGCTCAGATTGCCATGGCGCATTTGACCCGGAAGTGGGAGTGTATACCTGTCAAAGCCAAGTACCTGCTCCCCCTTGCCCCCAAAAAGTGCCAAATGTGGCAGTGGAAGTGAGTAGGATGTAAACAAGCTGAACTTCCTCTTTTGGGTGAAGTTCTGCTTTAACCTCCCTGGCGGTATGATTACTTCAGATTTTTGGTGCTGAAAGCAGTACCATTTTTTTGCATGGAAATATGTTTTTTTTTTTTTATTGTAGGCCTGTAATTTTTAGCAATAACTCACTGAAATCTGTCTGAACAAGAGTCTAGTAAACATCCCGGGCATGATAAAATTTGAAACACAAAATCATAAATTATAATTTAATAAATAATCATAAAAAATAATAATATAATAATAATAATACATTTAATTCAATAATATAATCAAACCAAAAACATTGAAATTTGAAATATAGCGCCAAGTTCGCACATCACTGAGTAAAGTCGCGAAATCGTTTTCAGTGTCTGATGACGAATTTCCCCAGGAATCATCACTCAATTCTGCAAGTGGTTCTGATTTACAATCGCTGTTCTCTAGCTGGTCTAAAATCGCTTTTGACCTAAAGGGACGCTTTTTGGATGGCATGGACGTTTCTCAGTTTCCAGGCAGAAAGAACACTAAAAATGTAGGCAGGGCACAGGACAAAGCACTAGGGACAAAATATATGTGAAATGGTTTGATACAGTAATGTTATACTATTTGATTTTAGTGAATGTCACTTTTTGTCATTTTTTAATTTCCCGCCGTTCCGTCCCCCATACGTCCCGACGCTCACAGGGGACGGAACCCAGAAGACAGATGCCGGCATCCGCCGGATTACATTGCTGGGGACACTGCAGGAGGGACATCGCGGGAGCACAGGACAAGGTAAGTGATCGAGGGATCGTGGAGCAGCGCCGCATAGTATTCCCGAGTGTAGCTCGGGGTTACCGCTTGTGGTACTAAAACTTTACCCCGAGCTACACTCGGGAATACCGCCAGGGAGGTTAATGCATCCCCATAGCTTGTAACTGAAAGGTATTTTCCATGTCGTCCTCAAAGCCATATGAAAAGACCCCATCCCTCACTGTGCACTTTTTTTTTTGCATTGCTGCAGCATCTCTCATAGCAGTGATGTTTCCTATGCTATACAACTTTTCCAGCAGCCCTCCAATGGGCCACAAAATTCACCTCCCACCCACTTTATTGCGATGCACATCAAAAGTCACCTTAATCAACTTTTTTGATTGAATACCAAACTCTGAATGAATCAAATTACATCTGATTTGCTCATCAATACTCCTCACAGTAGGAAAGTCAGATCAGTTTTTAGTGAGTAGTTGTGCCCTGCACAGGAGGCACGTATAGGAATGGTGCACAAACAACAACAAAAAGACCACCCTAGTGTAACACAGTTTTAATATAAAAAGCATATTAAAAACTTCATCCAATGCACTCACATGAAGTAGTAAGTGGGCACATCAGAGTGTTATTGACCTCCTCTCCTGGATGGCCACATTCGCTGTCCAGCTTCATAAACTATATGGCTCTGGAAGGGGACACCTAGAATGGTTTCTATGACTACACTTTTCAGAGGTGTGGCTTCCTTCATCAAGTCACCTCATTGTGAGAGACTTGATAAAGAAGGTCACACTTCCAAAATGCATCATCGTAACAACTATTCTGGGTGCCCCTTGCCTCAGCCCCTTACCTGTTATTCCAGTGATCTTTGTGTGCGGTCAATAACAATTTGATGTGCCCACTTACTCTATACTTCATGTGAGTGCATTGGATGAAGTTTTTTTAATACACTTTTTACAATAAAAATTTGTTATACTAGGAAGGTCAGGTGTTCTCTTTATGTTATTTTTGCTATTTTTCCTGCCACCCAGTGGATGGTTAGAGAGCTGCAGCAACCTGTGTCTCATTCTGCTGCATGCACTCTTAAAATTAGTCAGCACTGGGCTGTGAAGACCAGCGTACCTGTAAAATAAAACATGATTTATCAGACCCATCTTCTTCTGTTGATCTGTGGTCCAGTTCTGATGCTCACATGCCCATTGTAGGTACTTTTGGTTGTGGACATGGGCCAGCATGGGCACTTTGACTGGTCTGCGGCTATGCAGCTCCATACTCAACCAGCTGTTGATGCCCATTTTTCTGCTTTCAACACATCAGCTTCAAGGACAATATGTTTATTTGCTGCCTAATTTATCCCAACAACTTTCAGATGCCATTGTAACAAGATAATCAGTTATTCCCTTTACCTGTCAGTGATCTTAACATTTTGGTTGATTGAATGTGCTGCACATTGAAAACTCTGCTCCCGTGTTCCAAAAGTCACCAGACTGCACACAACATGAATTATGACAACCGCTTCTGTGCATTTACATTTCCTAAGAATTTCAGAACTAATAAAACTAAACAAAATATTGTATACAAATATAACCATCTTCATAAAACCTAGGAAAAATGATACTACTGTACATCATAAAATATCCTGAATATATTATCTATAATAAATACAAGATGAAAAGCAAAAAAGCATATCTTACAATAAACATTATGTAAAAGCTGCTAAGCTTTCGTCTCATGTTTCATCCTGTCTTTAGAAACACATTGGTTTTAAATTTGGGTAGTATCAAGAGTATCTCATCAAAAAATAAAAGGTTTTAGAGGATGGCCAAAGAAGACCAAGCAACTTAGTAACTCCACTTTTGTTGAGGAAAAAAAAATCCTCTCAGGGATTTTAACAAACTTTGTTACAGATTCCTACCTTTTGTTATTCTAAAGTAATAACAGTTTGTGTGTCTGTGTCCATGTGCAAATGTGAATGGGAGTGACTTTTGAATCCCATAGACTTGACTTCCCTTTGGGAGTATCTCACCAGAAATTGCATTTTTGTTGCAGACGATGCCCCAAAGCTGACTTGTATCTTTATGCAGACTTCTGGGAAAATCAGTGAGCCAATCACATGAGCAGAAAATGACATTTTGGGGGTGTTCTGTATACTATCTGTGTATAGATTACCTCCAGGTGGCTGTATTGCATTAAAAAAATTACAATGCTGCAGATTGAAAAGGAAAGGTAATTTTTAAAGAACATTGACTTACTATATGGCTTGTGTAGCAATTCTATATACAATGGTAATTTTCTTTTTTATTTGCTTTTTTCCCTCATGAAAGTGGAGTTACCCTTTAAGTGGTGGTAGTAGCCTTGAAGCTCCATGACTGTTCTGTTAAGCAAGTGACAGTGGTTCCAAGTGTGGCACCCCCAATTTGCTATCAGTGAGGGAGCAAGTGATTTCTCCTTGAAGTCTGAAAACTTATTTAATCACCTCATGAGCAGACACTTTGACCCCCTTCCTGTCCAGCCTCTTTTTTCAGTTTTTAGCGCTATCACATTCTCAATGAAAATTACTCAGACATGCCACACTGTACCCAAATGAGGTTTTTTTTGTATTATTTTATGTTATGCAGATATAACTTTCTTTTTATGGTATTTAATCACCACTGGGTTCTTTTTATTTTTTGCTACGTAAATAAAAAAATTATAAAAAATGTTCTTAGTCTTTGTTTTAAAATTTTGCAAATAAATAAAATTTCTTCATAAAATTAGGCCAAAATGTGTTCTGCTACATTTCTTTGGTGTCACGACATAGCATGTTACCTTTCCCTTCCATCACTTTCTGACCCGCCCCCAGTTTATCTTCACATATATATATATATATATATATATATATATATACTGTATATATATATATATATATATATATATATATATATATAGGGGGGATTTGGAGGGTTTGTGTTAGAGAAGGAAATATGATAGGGAGGAAATCTGTGCTAAACAGGGATTTTTTTTTTTGGGGGGGGGGGGTGACTGTTGTGCTAGTAGAGATGATTTGGGGGTATTTGTGTTTGTGCTAGGAGGGGAAACTTGGGGGGGGGGGGGAATGGGAATTTGTGGAATGAGGGATGATTGGGGGGGTTATTGTGCTAGAAGGGAAATTTGGGTTGGGGGGCAGGGAATTATCCTCGGAGGGGCACAGGATTGAGCGGGGATCTGAGCTGGGAAGGATGGGGGGGGGGGGTTAAAACATGCAGAGTGGTGCTCAATTGCTCAAGAATTCCTGTGGTTGCAGGAGTACAGTTGTCTGCAGGGGATGTTTGGGATTGGTGTTTCACAAGAATGTACTTAGTGGGATATGCAGGTCAGTTCAGGCCGCAGGCAGATACATGGTTAGAAAACAGGCAAAGGATTGGTCCAAACTGAAACGTAGTCAATAAACAGGCCAGGGTTAATACAGGTGGCAGACAGAGGCCGCACTGCACAAGTGTACATGCAGCGATCAGGAACACTGTTGCTGGATTACACAGGTCTGTTAACAATGGAGACTAGCGTGGGAGCAATCAGGAACACTTCTGCTGACCTACACAAATCTGGTGACACTGGGGCTGGTGTGGCAACAATCAGGGACACCTATGCCAGCTTATACTGGTGCAGTGACACTGCGGCTGGTGTGGCAATGGTAAGAAACACTCTTGCTGGCATACACTTTTCTGGCAACATTGGGACAGATGTGGCAATGATCAGGGACAATTTGAGTGGTGTGGCCATGATCAGGGACACTGTAATTGGTCTGGCAATGAACAAGGACAATATAAATGGTGTGGCAGTGATCAGGGACAACATGACTGGTGTAACGGTGATCAAGGACACTGGGACTGATGTGACGGTCATCGGGGACACAGTAATTGGTGTGGCAAAATCAGGGACATTGTGATTGATGTGGTGGTGATCAGGAACACTGTGATTAGTGTGGCAGTAATCAGGGACATTGTGATTGGTGTATCAGTGATCATGGGCAATCTGAGTGATGTGGCGTTAATTAGGGACAATATGAGCAGTGTGGTGGTGATTAGGGACAATATGAGCAGTGTGGTGGTGATTAGGGACAATATGACTGGTGTGGTTGTTATCAGGGACACTGTGACTGGTGCAGTGGTGATTAGGGACGGTGTGAGCGGGGGGGCAGTGATTAGGGATACTAACTTGCAGCACTAGTCTGGTGACACTGTACTGCTGTGGCAGTGATCAGAGACAATGGCTGGCAGCACTGACATACAGTGATATCAGAGCAGCCAGCCATTGTCCATGATTAACACCACAGCAATATAATGTCAGGATAGTGACACTGCACTTGCTCTGGTAACAGTATGTAAAAAAATTATATTTTTTTATACGTTTCTTTCCACATACTGTCAGCATAACAGTGTAGTGTCACCATAGTGACACTGTACTGCTCTTTGGGGGTCATCAGGACTTTTTTTTACACTGTGATTGCTTATACCGGGATGATCACTGCATAAGCAATCTATCTTTAACTGTGTTTGGCACCCATTCACAATGTTATTTTTGTGATTATGGTGATTGGCCACAGCTATAACGCGGTATAGGGCTGCTGTGATTGGCCCTGTACCATGTGATCACTGTCACCAATCACAGAGATCACAGTAGTAAGCAATGGCATCATGAATGACAGCCCCTGTTTGAGACTTTTCAATCACAGTGATCATATACAGTATCTCACAGAAGTGAGTACACCCCTCACATTTTTGTAAATATTTTATTCTATCTTTTCATGTGACAACGCTGAAGAAATTACACTTTGCTACATGTAAAGTAGTGAGTGTACAGCTTGTATAACAGTTTAAATTTGCCGTCCCCTCAAAATAACTCAATACACAGCCCATTCATGTCTAAAACACTGGCAACAAAAGTGAGTACACCCCTAAGTGAAAATGTCCAAACTGGGCCCAATTAGCAATTTTCCCTCCCCGGTGTCATGTGACTCATAAGTGTTACAAGGTCTCAGGTGTGAATGGGGAGCAGGCGTGTTAAATTTGGTGTTATCGCTCTCACTCTCTCATAATTGTCACTGGAAGTTCAACATGGCACCTCATGGCAAAGAACTCTCTGAGGATCTGAAAAAAAGAATTGTTGCT